GGCATAACACATGCACACAAGCACACACACACACACAGACAGTATGGATGGCTATCACAATGACAAAATGGCCAACGTACCCTCATCATCCTTGTGACATATTTGGCTATGTTGAGGAGCAGAAGTCTATTCGGTGTGACTTTGGCACTCCTCCTGACACTGATGTACGAGTTAGAGGCTGTGACTAGGTCCCGTATATTCTCCATAGCACTGCGTGTGTCTATGGAATCTAGAAAAGGAATTGAGCACTGAACACAATCCTAATGTGCCATTGTTATTTTATCAAGCCATTTTGTTCTTGTTACATATTTCAAATCAAATGTAATTTTAACCACAAAAGGTGCCATTATCTTTTCATTCATTGGAGCAATTTAATACAAACTCGAAACTAATGCAGGTAACCTTACCACAGAGAGCTTCATGAACACCTGTTCTCTTTTCCAAAAATCTGAAAAAATTAATTATCAAATTATGTAAATATAATCTAAATTATTCCAAATGAAGGTTGTAATTTAAATTTGTATATTTGTCTATAATGTAATTCTTGACATTCAGCAATGTAAATATATGACCCAATTATTTATTTTGGAGTCCATATTTCAAACTTTCACGTGCATCACTACTTCTAGTATAATTTTACTTCTTCAAGTCTTGGAGCTCTCACTGTCAAACAAAACAGCAAGACACTTCCTGACACAAGGATAGACTAAATTTTTCACAACGTATGAATATACATCTTACAGCATTGCTACCAAAACACTTCTTTTGTGAAAATCTTTAATCCATGTTCTTTACTGAGTAATCACCATTGCAGTAACAACTCTATTACTTACTTTGTATTCAGCTGGCACTCTTCTGTATGCCATTTGTCAAATGAATCTGGACCAGACGAAGGAGTGTTCCTCAGAATATCCTTCACTGTCAGAAAAAATTCCTGGCAAAAAAAAAAAAAAAATCATAAAGGCATAACAATGGGGATGAATCTTATGACACATATTCTGAATATTTGATGTTTAAACAAAAGTCTTACTTAGTGAATTAATACAAAATTAATTCAATACAGTTCATCATCAACACAAAATATCTTGGAGCCTGGATTTGAAACATCATTACATTGAAGATAAATTTTCTGCCAAACAGATCTATGGAAATTCTCTACATTTTCATACAGCATTAACTCGCAACATAACAATATTGGTAATTTATATATATCACAAGTTAGCTAATTAAAAGTACTACTGAAATACATTCCATAAACCTTAACCAAAGTCTCATACACAAATACTCATAAAAAGCTATAAATAATCAACATACGTTCAGATGTTTTTCATACTGCATGGCAATCTCCATAGTGTTATCACTATAATCCAGCGTGTCCTTCCAGGAATGGAGAAGAAAAGCAAGTCGCAGCTGTCTTGATGAGTTTTTCTGGAGAGCCTCTTTTATTGTGATGAAATTCTTCAGAGACTTCGACATCTTACATCCTGCTATGGTCAAGTGACCAGAGTGAAGGAAATATCTGACCCAATTGTCATTACCATAATATGCCTGGCAATATGAAAAAAGTTGATAGCATTACACAACTGTTGTTCCTTCTTTCCTATAAATTACTCTGAACTGTATGTGATAGCTAATTATAAATTTTCAACATTGCTGGCAATTGTTATATGTAAAAAAGAGTTTTCAAGATTGAAAGTGTAAAACCTAGTCTTCTTTGTAAAACCCATGTAATGCACTTGAAAATAAATGCAAACAAAGTTTTAAAAAAGTTTAAAAAATGGTCAGGGGTGCATTAATTTAATGGAAATTGTCTCATCCAATATTGAGTCTAAGAAGGCCAGGTCTCACTGTACAAGGTTAACTCACCTCTGATTGTGCCAGTTCATTGTCATGGTGTGGAAACTTGAGATCAAAGCCACCTGTGTGAATGTCCATTGACTCGCCCATGATACAACTGGCCATGGCAGAACACTCAATGTGCCAACCTGGGCGACCCTGAGTACAGTTATAAACAGAAAAAAAATCATGTAAGAAATGCCCCCTTCATTGTTAAAAAACTAGCCCCAATGCTTTATAAATCTTACAGCAAAAGTGTAATTAAATCTGAAAGTAAAATGGAAAACTGAATGTATATGATTATAAAGTAGTGTGAATGTAACCTGCAAATGCAGTTTGTCCTTAAAAATTCATGTCTGCTAGCTATACAGTGCTATAAAACAAATATTTAGTTATCACAGTTCTTTTCCATGAAATCATGTCAAATACAACGACAAAATCACACATGAGAGAGAGAGAGAGAGAGAGAGAGAGAGAGAGGGCTGAGTACCTTTCCCCAAGGTGAATCCCAGCTAGGTTCCCCTGGTTTGGATGTCTTCCACAAGGCAAAGTCATTGGGGCCCCTCTTCTCATCCAGTCTGTCCTGGGAAATACTCAGGTCACCTTGGAGTAAAGAATGTAAAGTCATTAACCATGAGTCACCCCCGAGTTCCAGAAAACTAACCTTTTTGCTCAGCATGGCTTCGACATTTTTAATGAGTCACAAGATATTAGTCTCCAGTAAACTGTTAAAACCACTAGTTTGTGTAGTACAACAGTAAAAAATATAGCAAGTTTTCAAGTACTTTATCTATCCCATAGCAGTCATTACTGCAACTCTGTTATAAGAATCTATAGTTTCAGTAGAACACTGTCAAGGACTATAAAAATGTTTAATTAAAGGGATAACAGCTTTTTTATGAGATTCAAAATTTCACAATAAAGACTCTGTAAACAACACAAAGAAATATAATAAATCCCATTTTACCACCAAAGCAGCGATTATCTTAATTATTCTGAAATCTGTGCATGCAATTGGGCCATGGGAATCTTCACTGATAACTACCCACTGTAATTTTCTCTTAAGAGATTTTTTACAAAAAAACACATTTAAAAAACAATTAACTTTCAATGTCGGAGCAGATTCATTTACCATTGGTAAGTATGGAAATGGCACTCTTCCCACCAAAATGAGTTATTATCCCTTTAAGCACTTAAAAAACCACACAGTCCTTCCTACTAATTCATCAAATTTGCAAAATAGGGTAATAGCTAAAGCTAAAAGAGGTCCTGTGATCACTGACACAGTAAATGGAATTGTGATATTCTGAGCCTATATGTTAGAGCCTGCAAGCATGTTGTAGCAGTACATATGAGTAATACAGCATGTGACACAATGTTAATCTTCAAATTTTCCAGATACTGTGCCATGTCTAAAAGTCAAAACATACATGTATATACCACGTCAAAAGTGAATTAAAAAAATATAAGTGCATAGGAGGGCACTGGCATATATAAATACATGTACATTGTGAGAAATCAACTGTATATGGCCTACCTTCCCCCTCCTGCAAGGCTTTTGCATCCCCATAGGCCTCGGGAACCAGCTTAGCATAGTAGTGACCTTCTGCTTTGCTAAACTTTGATGTGTCAAAATATACAGACCCATTGGACTCATAACTGTAAAACAGATTTTTTATATTATATACACTGTACATATCAACTAGACTTTTGACTAAAACATGTTGAAATATTCTTTTCAAAGAAATTAACTTTAAAAAATCATATGATGTTTTAATTGCAAAGAATATCCTTCCACAGTTAAAACAAAAACAGGCCTATCTTGGTAATCACCATGCACATGTAGAAACATCTAAATCCATATTGTCTATAATTTTTACCCAAAGTTAGCAATTTCAGGTACACAATTTCACTGACTCTCATCAGTTTTTTCTTATATCTATATATCACGTTAATCACTTAAATTATACAAATGAAACTTACGCATATCCATTATCTATAACTTTCTGCACAAAGTCAGCTATTTCTGGCACATATTCACTAACTCTTGTCAATACATCTGGAGGCTCTACCTGCATATAAGCACAATTATACATTTATAAATTAAGTTACTGTAGTTTTAAAAAAATGGTAAATAAACTGGAAAGTCCATAACAGCACATACACAAAATCATTTCAGCAGCTTCTACCCTGCATTATAAATCATTTTGAAATTTGCAAAAGCGAAAGCTCAAAAATGGTACAAAATGCAAAAATAATGTATATGTTCATATTTTTCACTTTTTACTTGTTTATTCATCATTAAATTTCATTAGTAGTTCTGACCATTATGCTTGCACCTTAGGGCAACTGCTCAAAGTATGTAACTTATTATTCTGTTACAGAAAAGTGACATACTTCTCAAGTGGGATCAGATAAAAACAGCCCAGATTAAAAATAAAAGAACTGATCAAAAAAAAAAAAATGGAAAGAAGACAGTTAGACCACATTTCTTACCAAATTAAGAAGCAGCAATGGAATCTACAGAAATTGCTTGTAAATTATTTAAAGAGAACCATACCTAATAATACCAAGATGCTAAGTGAAACTCGCATTGTGGATTTAAAGAAAATATTAAATTAAGGAAAGCGTCCATTGGAAAATGCCTGCCAAAATGCAAGCACACTATATCGTACTATGTACATAACGGGAACAGTTAGTTTTTAAATATGATAGTTTTTAAAAGATGACGCATCCTTAATTTTTCTAAAGATATATGGATGCCATCCCAAGTTCTTCATAACCTGCATATAAACCTTGGTCTTGAGATAAGTTTTTAGATGTTACATAATCATTATTTATTATAATCTAATAAAATTTTATGGCCTCAAAGCTGATGTACCCAAGCATACACAACTGAATTTGTCCTAACTTCTCTGTAAAATAATTAAGTAACAAAAGAAACCAATATAAATAAATATAATACTAAAAGTATCAGTATATGTACAGTGCATGTGAGTTTTTTTAATTAGATGAAATTAATTTGCATTTGTACACATTTAATTTAACACAGTGGGGGCAATTTATCTATACAGGTTTCCATATAAACATGAGTTGAAAAAAAATAACTTTCAAAGCAGTTTTCAACGAAAACACGCACCTTAAACCTTCCAGGACTTATGGCAGAGGTGGGAAAAATTGCAGTCCTATTAATAGCCAGACTTGACCTGCTTACATTAAGACACTTGATTCTCACTATAGTGGGTCTCAGTTAAGTTCCTGGTCGCAATCTATGTGCTCACAGGAAGTGTGACAAGAGTAAGGAATGAGTACATGTATGAACCATGCGCGCCATGAACTAAATCTCAAATCCTTCTCATCAGACTGAGTAACATATACAGTTATACACAGGTGAGTAAGTGTATGGTACAAGTAAATGTAAGTATAACAGAATACCAGAGGTGACATAATTTTCAATCACTGCATCAAGGTATTATTTGCGTGTTACACAATGTATGTTCAGTAAAATCCTGACTGACCTAAATACCCTATTCTTCTTGCATATACTGGGAACTCGTGCGAAGACATCCTTTATCTGACCTACATGCACCTGAAAGTTTTGGCCTTATTGTCAGAACTTACATGTAACAAGCACAGGTAGCTTAATTGTTGTTAGGATGTTCAAATTGTAACCTGAACTGAAAAGAGGCCACCATATATATACATGTAGATGACTCATGAAAATGCCTGTATGTAGGTGGGAAAATCAAGAAAACTAAGCTAGTATAGGGTTAGTGAACCAGAAAAGTGAAGAATACCGGCTGGTGCACACAGGTAATATAGATCAGGTAAATTAGATGTACAAGTGTACCATGTGCCCTTTAATAAGTTTTACCACATTTGTACGTTTTTTAAGATAGCACAGTATAATGCTGTTGGTTATGTCTAGTTAATAACATCATGCTTACATGTACTCAATTGTTCTTGTTGTGGTGACATGAAATACTTTTAATTAAAGTTGTGGTATCATGGAGTGCTAGTAAGACTGCTGATATGACTGATTCATTTTCAAAACATTCCACTTGATTCATTAGCTTCCATATGGTATTTTATTTGATATTGTTGGCACATACATTTGCCTTTGTTCTGTGTTTATATTGTTTACTTTGTTATACACCTACAACTTTTACTTTCAGTTTCTGGTTCATGAATGAGAGAATTACTTTTGAATTTTTGACAAAGCAAATTTGTCAATTTAAGTATTTTTTCAAAAGATTTTTTAAATGCTATCTCCATTTCAAATTGACAGCATGGAAGCAATAGCTGTCCTTGTGCGGACGCAGAAAGAGCTTTTAGGATACCCCTCCACCTTAACACTGAAACCTTTTCCCTCATATATCTACGTAAAAGGTGATTTGTGAATTATTGAATTTGTCTGCAATATTTCTCTACAGGTCTTGACATGTTTTAGACCATAACACAAACACCCATAACAAAATCCTTTTCCTTATCTGACTAATTACTGTAATATAATTATATGTTTGACTATTTAATTATTACATGACTAAGGTATACTTACCCCCCCCCCCCCCAAGCTCCTCGAGTCTTGCAAGTCAGGCATCTATTAAAACTCACACACGAATTGGGGAAAATATTTCACTTCTGTATTTTTTTACCCAAGGTTCAAAGGCTAGTTAGCATCCTAATGCACATCCTGCCTGACTCATGATTAATATAATGGAAGATATATTCCATATTCCAGCAGAGGACCTTCTTCAGAACCGAGCTGTACCTTTACTCTGGTATCACAACAGAACTAAGAAACAGTTGTAGTTGGCATTACTGTAAGCATCCTGAGTCGTGATTAATATTATGACATTCAGTTAAAATATATGCTACTGTTTATTCTATATTGCAGCAGAGGACCTTCATCTAGACAGCTGAACCTTTACTCTGGCATCACAACAAAACTAGGAAACAATAGTAGTGGGCATTACTGTAAGCATCCTTATGGACATCCTGCCAGAGTCGTGATTAATATTATGAAATTCAGTAAGAAAGCTACTGTTTATTCTATATTGCAGCAAATAAACTTCATCTAGACAGCTGAACTTCTACACTGTTATCACAACTGGACTCCAGGAAATAATTGTAGTTGCCACAATGGACACAAATGGGACTGTCACTATAAATGTGACATACACAGTGGAATCTAGCCCTACCATCAACCCACCAACCCTGGCACCCCAGTTAAACAATACTACAGTATACCAGACCCCAGTACAAAACCAACTGCCAACAGGTGAGTACAGGTACAGTAATTATTCAATCTTTTCAATGGGGAAAAATTGTGAATTTTACAGATACTGTGTTTTTTTTTAATCTTAATTTTTTACATATAGAACATTCTTATTGAGTTGCAGCAAGGAGTTCTGACATTTGGAACTCCTTGGTTGTAGCAACAAACTTAAAAAGCAGGCTATTTAACTGTTGTTCTATTCTGTGCAGTAAAGTACCACAAATGTTATATAGAAATATAATTTTTGTGATTATAAAATTTAGTATCTGAAAGTTTGCTAATTTTTGCCCATTGAAAGGATCGAGTAATTATCGTAATATATAGAAATACAGTGCATAATTCATAAATCAAATATCCACTTATTTCAAGAGCCTATTTTTCATCATTTGTCATTTTGACATAATTAAAATATATATATGATGTAAACCTAGGTCTAAATATGGAGTCCTAGTGTTAACCCAGCTCTCTTTACAAAACCTAAATTGTTTCCCATATAACTTATCACAAAGATTTTTTAACATCGTGAATGATTTTCACAGTACAGACGAGACCACCTGTATGACTAAACTAGGCAGTTTCATTTTGTTTCTCATATCCTCTCCAATATGGGAACAGAAGGGTGCAATGTCTACCACATTGACCTGAACACTAGACTTGCTAAATGCTTCGCCAGATAAACTTACAAACCAGACTATAATCAGAGGTTATTCCTTTTGTTTACCTCAACAAACACCCATCTGTAAGCCTACTAGTACCCATAAAAATGCACCACACTTCCCGTGAATAAAAGCTGTATCAACAAAAGTCTGTGGATTTAGACCCTGTTGTTGAAACATATGAATCACTGGTATTCTACTGGTACAAAAATAAATAATCTTTGTGCATATCCTGGTTAAAAAAACTTATTTAATATAAGACAATCAATAATACAAATTTCTTAAGCATGGACATAAGGAATATTTTAGCCTTTGCTATTTCTATTACACTGTACATGCCCATACATTTCAGTTTTTTCAGAGGCAAATTAAGCAAAGACCCAATACAATGTCAACTCTTTAAAACATAGTTCCTGTTGTAATTGTGATCAGTTCATTTTTGCAATAAAAAAACTTTCGTTCTATCACATTATGGGTTATAAAAGCATTGTGATAAAATTGAAAGCACTTCTCCACCTAACCAAAGTTTCCAATGGCTTATGCATTCTCTATTTCTAATAATACCTGTTATTACAGATAAAGGATTTAATTAATTTATACTAAATAAATGAATTTATCTTTTTCTTTCAGAAATTATTATTGCAATAGCTGTAGGAGCTGGTGTGTTTTTTATCCTGGTGATAGCACTACTTGTACTTATCATTTGTCTTCGCAAGAATAGAACAAAGTAAGTAAACCACAACTGTATAGAGAAATTAGTTCAACTAAACTTTGGCCCAAAAATATAAAGCAGTTTTTAAGAGACACCTTAAACATAAAGAAAAGAAAACCTGTTGTGAAGGCACGGATTCAAATAAACGGTTTAACCATAAGATCTATTAAATAAACTCACCACAATATTCCTGGCTCAAAAGAAAATGTACTAGTACTGGTATATCCCACAGTTTAATGTTCACCATTTGTTTTCATCAGAAATTTATCACACATTTTAAATATTAAAATATACATTATTGGAATTGTACACATACACAAACAACAAGTACTTTGCCAATATAGACATGACATACTCTGATGTGCTAGTTGCATTAAATAAAATAATAAACACTACTAGGTTTTTAATCTAGGCTGAGATAAAAGAGGAATAAACACAATATTAACAAATATCATAGAATTTTTCTGATCTGTAAGTCCCGATTATCTACGAGAAATGACCAGCAACATATGTAAGAACCAATTTACTATTTCAAAAATTTACTTAACAGCTACCTGTTAGAACATCATAAATTTATTTAGACAATCTTTATTTATTTGCTCAATCAACTGTTGTGGCAATGTCTTGACCTTTAACCTCAGATGGCATAAAATGATGGAAGACCACTGGTAGAGCATTGACATTTTTGAGTTAGTACCCCGGTAAAAGCTCTCTGAACCTGAAAAAATCTGTTATAGTTTACAATTTTAAGATCCTGCAAGGTATATCAATACCTCTTAAATGTAATAACTCTTCTTTATTCAGATCAGACAATGTGCCTGCGGATAGTGCAGCAACTTCCACAGCATATAATCTACTGGCACAGAGGGAGGTTCCAGAAAAAAATGAAGAAAATTCTTTGCAAACCAAGGACCATAGCAAAGGAAATGCCTATGAGCATAAAGAAAAATCTGACCAAAGTAAAAAGATTCCACTCAAACCTATTAAAACGAAAGAGAAACCACAAAAACCCGCACGTCACTCCCGTACTTCTGGAAGCACAAGTAGCCGCAACAGTCAACCCCTACCACAAGATGAAGTGAAAGAAGAAGAACAAAGTGACTATGTAAATGTGATAAGGGACAAAAAGTCGGGTGCTGTGAGACCAAAGACACACCCAAGATCCAAGCTAACAAGTAACTCTTCAGATCCAAACACTCCTTCCGCTGGATGGCGCGATTCATCAGGTCATTATGAAGTGCCTAAGAATCCAGTGCCGATAAATGAGCCCCCTGCTGAGTATTTGTGTCTCCTGCCCAATGATGACACCTATGTCAATGCAGATGTTACTACGGACACGACCCATGACCTGTATACATATGCAGATCATCAGACCCCATCTCCTCACTTAACAAAGAGACAGGAATCACAAGATGTCTACGAAAATGCTTAGCGATGGTAGATGTTATTTGTTTTGTCTTTCTTTAAGGTATGGCTTAAGCGTAAGCTAAGAGGAATACGGGTAGTACTATGTACTAGCTCGTTTTTCTCCATGAACCAGATCTTTATTGTGCTTTCAATGCTTTTTTTATTGATGCAAAATGTGAATATCAACCTTATTTGTCTTTCATTCAAACCACTGCATCCAAACAGCTTTTGAAAGTTTTGCTTTTGAATGATAGTCTGTTCTATTATGTGCTATCAAGTGATCTTTTTTGGTCACAGTGGTACTTCAAACAATGCATACGTCAGGCATGTTAGGGCTGTCACAAGACTCAATTATTTTGTAACAAATACTACCAACCAACCATGACCAAAAATTCATACAAGCAAAGTAAACACAAATACAAAGAATGTAAACATGTCCATAATATAAAACAAATGGGATTTTCCTTATCCAAAAATTGTTTCATTTATAAGCTTTAATAGATTTTATAGATGGTAGAATAAAAGTTGTTTATTAATCAAAATATCTTTTGTTTTGTTTAAAAGTATTTCACTACTAGTGACTTAATAAACTTTCATTTTTGGAAAGTTTTTTTCACTTGGTACATGTACATCATGTTGTTTTTTTTTTTCTATTAATATCATCTTCTATAAATTTTCTGTTTTCAGTTTATCCATCTAGAATAACTTTCATAATTTTAATGTAATAACTCTTGACCAAAATAAACTTACATTCAAGGCATCCATGTCATTAAAGTACTCAGCTTCAAAATGTTTTGGTAGTGTGGCAAATATTGCATTATCTGTGACTTCTGACCCATGCAGACCATCCAACCAATCAGAGAGGATGTCTTGAGCGTCTGCCAATAAGGTCTGAATAAAAACAGGAAGAGAATAAACATTTATTCCCTGATGACATGACAGACATCTTTGGTTTCTGTTTATATAACCATGTACATACTAAATCATGTCAACCGTTATTCAATGCCACACCACACTCATTTGTCCATCACAATCTTGTGCAACTTTACTCTAAATCGCAAGCTCAAGACTTACATTAAGGGCTAATGAGGTCAAGATGACTTTTCAGTTCAAAATCTTTTGGAAACTATGCCCAGTGGAATGCATGCTGGTTATTACCATTCTGGCTGTATCCAGATGAGACAGGGTGTTTTCAGCATCACACTGCTTCCTTGCCTCATCTACATGTGTAAGAGCTGCAGAGATTTTGGCATCCATACGCTCATACATGGCTTTTTTGTCTGGGTCAGTTTCTTTATTCAGCTTCTCCTTGAAAGGCTGCAAAAATCAATAATAATAATTAGAATTAGAAAATGCACTTCGCCATCCAAAATAAAACCTATGATGATGGAAAGTAAATTGTTTCTAAAGACACAAAACATGGTTTTCTTCCTGATCCATGATATTTTAGCAGTTCATCAAAGGGCCTTGATCACATGCCTGAATTTTAGACATGAGCTCTACTTTTTATCATCATCACACAATAGACAATGAAACATTCACTATAAAACAGGGAATATGTGACAATTAATACTTCATCAGCTGTATATAACCAAACAGTGCCCATAATCTGGTCATTGTCAGCGGGTGAATTCCTTCTTAAGGAGACATTTATTTCATAGTATTACATTCAGTTTTGTGTATTGTTTTGACCAAATAAAAAAGCAAAAAAAAAGTTCAAATCTCCAACTATGTTTTTCAAAATATATATTGGCCTAATGCAACCACGTTGTATGTATGAGTGGGGCCAGCATCACAAAAAGCACAACACATGCTACGTCACCTCGTTTCTTAACAAAATCTTACAGATCAATTCTTATCTGCTGGAGGTGAGACTACTGAAAATTCCACTACACAGAAAAGCTCAAAACTTTTTAAAACAGGATAGGTTTTTTTTGTCAGTCAAAAACAGTTAATTCAAAATGGTGGTTTTTCAATTTGTTGCTGCTTCCTTGTCCCTACCAAACACATGTACTACATGTATTTATTGATCATGACAAGTAGGGTCGACAGTTTCAGCGTGTCTGTTACATACTAGTATGTTGAAATTATGTCCAAGGAGAATACTTTACTACTAGTACCTTCATAGCTTCCTCCAAGTCAACTAGAACTTTGTCCAAGGGATGATGTGCAGCCAGGTACTGCTCCATAAGGTGATTCTGACGAGCTCTTTTGATGATCTGTTTAATATGTAAAAGACTGGTTTATATACACTGATATATATACATGTAATGACTGTGTAATATATGCATATCAGACTGTACATATATCCTAAATGGATTATAAACAGGGACATAAATGAAAAGATACATAACATCCAACTTGCAAACTATAACTGAAAGTAGAGATTGATTTTGTATGATTGTATAATGTAAAGACTGTCAGGCGAAGAACTGACAACTATTTCAAACTGATTATTTCAAGTGAGATGACACATGGGTAAAATAGTAACTGTACCTATTTGGTAATGTACAAATTCTTTAAAAAAGTGATAAAATATTAATTTTTTTCTTCCTTGCCTTATCATCAATATCTGTGATATTCATGCAGTAAAAGACATCATAATTGAAATAGTCCTTGATAACTCTCCTCATGATGTCAAATGAAATATAGGACCTAGGAGAGAGAAAAAACGTTGCCAGATTTCGAATTATTGCATGAAGTCAATGTAAGACTGACACCAACATTATTAATCCAAGATAAAAAAAGAAATTAGTTTTATGAATGCAGATTTATTCAAGACAACATGATTTATTTCATCATTTGAATAACAAATAAATGCAGACTGCTCCTTCCAATTCAACATTTCACTTGTAAAAAGAAAGAAATTCACTTTTGCAGTGATTTATAAAATGCTGTTGCAAATAAGGAAAGATATAACAATATTCTGCCAAAGAATGTTAATAAAATGGGGAAATGGTGTTTTAAGCTATGTGTATCTTTAATCAAGATTTTTAAATCTTTAACTGAACTAACATTATAGTTTGAATAAATTGTATGTCCAGTAACACATTTTAAAAACTTGAGATGTGTAAAATATGACTGGAAAACTGATCTACATGATAAATTGCATAGCTTGTTGCATCCAAAACTTTATTAGTTTGCAATTTCAGATTTAAATTGATATTTTACCTTGCGTGCCCCATATGCGAGGCATCATACACGGTGGGACCACAGCTGTACCATGTGACCTGGCTGCCATTCTGAGGCACAAATAATTCCTGCCATAGAAATTGGAATCAACTGAAATATCTTTAAATTTATGGTCTTAAAATAAACCAAGAAACAATTTAACACACATAAATATTTCACTTAACATTGTTATTCATGATCACTCCAATACTAGACTTTTTGTGCCTCAGTAAAGTTCTTATCTAAAGCTTTTAATTTCTATTTTAACAGGTGGGCTACACTTTGATAACTCAAAGTAAAAATAAACACCATAACACCATGATAAATATAACAAGGGATTCTTTCTACCTACCTTTTGCCTGGTTAGACTGTTATATAACTTCAGCTGAGCAACTCCAGTAGCAGCTGGAGGACTCCACTTTGGCTGGACTCTTTTTGTTTTTNTATGCGAGGCATCATACACGGTGGGACCACAGCTGTACCATGTGACCTGGCTGCCATTCTGAGGCACAAATAATTCCTGCCATAGAAATTGGAATCAACTGAAATATCTTTAAATTTATGGTCTTAAAATAAACCAAGAAACAATTTAACACACATAAATATTTCACTTAACATTGTTATTCATGATCACTCCAATACTAGACTTTTTGTGCCTCAGTAAAGTTCTTATCTAAAGCTTTTAATTTCTATTTTAACAGGTGGGCTACACTTTGATAACTCAAAGTAAAAATAAACACCATAACACCATGATAAATATAACAAGGGATTCTTTCTACCTACCTTTTGCCTGGTTAGACTGTTATATAACTTCAGCTGAGCAACTCCAGTAGCAGCTGGAGGACTCCACTTTGGCTGGACTCTTTTTGTTTTTCCTAAAAGCAAAATCAATGCATTATACAATGGACTGTATCAGCCATATATTCTTCTTTATCTTAGCTAAATTGGCAAAACATTTCAACTTCCAATCTGTGCCAAAAACGTTTTTTGATTCCATGTACATGTACTAGCCCTTTGGGCACTCAAGGTCTAAAAGTGAGCTACAGGTAGTGAGATGTAAAATTTCAAGTTTTTTTTTTTTTTACTAGTCCATTGTCTCTTTACACTGTCAATTGCCTCTGGCTAATGCCTAATGAACAGAGTGAACTTAAACTTGTTTCCCAACAACAGTGATAATAACAACCAGGGGAAATTAAACAGATTAAAGTCTGTCAATTGTAACTTTTATAAAAAGATGAACTAGTACAGGTTTTTGGGAGCCTAAAATGGAAAACTGCTTGCTGCATAAGGCTTTATCAATATGATGGCATTTCAAACCAATTTCTAATCAACCACCTACTCAATAAGCCATTATCAACTGGATACTTTATTCATATGCTGAATGATTTATTTGGATGAATGAACAAACAGAAAAATGTTTTGGACAGAAAACTTTGTCACCATAGCTGGAAAATTTCACTGGTTGACTGGAGATGACCTGTATCAAACAGGTGTTATTTTTCAGTGCCTGATGCTCCGTCTTTGAAATGTGTTTGAGTATAAGGCATGACCAGTATCATATTCCCAGTGCTTAAAGCATGTATTCTTTTCTGACTCCCTCTATAGGCTGAAGTTGACAAAGAACTTTGAAACAGTATCACTTTTTTTTTTTTTATGTGCTTGACACTGCAGCAGTAGTTCTCACTTTAGTTTGGTGTGGGATATGGAAAGTGAAATGTGACAATGCAGATTGCAATCTTCATTCTTAACCGATCACCACTGATCTGTCTGATCTGATCTGCACACACCTCACAAATACTGCTATGGGCCTTTAAATTATGTCCTAAATATAGTCGCATAATTCAGTATCAAATTGTCAGTTAACTAAACGCGGCGAACAACATATATCTATTATTTCGCACGAGCTTCAAATCTTGCTCGAGTTGTGCATATGTACACTGCTAACATAACAATTCTGGAATGATCGAACTCATTAAGTGCTTTATAAAATCAAATCAACCTTCACACGAAATAATGTGTTAGAAAAATCTTGCAATAGAGTTTAGTTCAATATTAAACAGGAAATATTTCATATAAACATACCTTGGCTGTCTGCCATGCTGTCACACTGATGAAACCGGAAATAAAAATGCGACCGTGAACCGGAAGATGAGAAACCTCGTTCCGGATTTCCCGCATGGTGGAAGGTTCACGATGAGTGTACCGGCTTTTATCGATATTGCCGAGGCTGACCAGGTATTGTGACTCGGAATGTCAACATTTATATTGCAGAAAACGTCATTTATATGTACACTTTATGAAAGTCCACATGGTCACCGTGTTTCCTGTCTGATTTACCTCAAATATCTTCAGAAGTAGAGAAGTCTATGTACATGTATTGTAACGTGTGTGACAGTGTGGCATGGCGTTTTCAGCCCATTTAATAGCTTAAATTAATATGCTCAAAGGTCTTCAAATCTTGGTCTTTGTCATGTGTGTATCAGTACATGTTTGTTTAAATTTTAAAGGGTTTGTTTATAGGTAAGTGTATTATTGATATTGATACCTCTAGCCTGGGTGGAATTTATCTGTAAATGCTGTCCAGTTATGGGCAAGATGTGGGGGGGGGGGGTCTGCTCTAGCTTCTGGGCCAGTGAAATAAAAAGAACACGAACAAGAGGCTTACCAACAAGTAAAGTTTATGCACTTTGTTACTTTATAGTAGTACAAATGTAAAGTTTTATTGGAAGATATTTATACTACTAAATGGTTTGTTATGCACATAACTCCCTCAATTCATGCCTTATTTATATTTCAGACAACTGAGCTTAGACAGTATTTGAAGTCATTTGGAGCTGAAATTTCTGAAGAAAATTCTGATGGTGGTTTGTTGAATGATCTGCGCCAAATTATAGAAGCATGTGAAGTGTGCTTAAAAGAGGCAAATAATGAAGCAGGTAATAAGCTAATGGCATGCCAAGATTACTATGATTTAGCTGTCATGATTCAAGTTTCTAGTATTCTTTTCAAAATTTCAATTTTGATATTACCTTGTCACTATTTTTGGTAAACTTGGTAACCTTAACACCTCAAATCCTGATAACACAGGTTGTTTTTAATTGCAGCCTTTGGTTCTTGTTGCTTTTAATTGACCTGCATTTTAAAATGTTGAATGATAAGTCTTCTGTTATTACGTATTTTGATTAACAGTCATAGAATTGTCTTGTTTGTATCATAACAGAGAGTATTGATGATAAAGTGTGTTAAATTGTCATATAACTTCAATGATCTCATTTTGTTAGAATATAACTTGACTATCATTATTTATATTTCAGAGTTGGAGAGTGTCCTAAACAGTATCATGTCACTGATCTTATTAATCCCAGTAGACAAATCAGAAGGACTTGTTCTGGCACTTTGTGAAAAATTGGTCAAATATCCAGCTGGGGACAAACATGCAGGAGCAAGGATACGAGTGTGAGTGTCAGTCTGTGTGCATAAAAACATTTAACAAACATATAATAAGTATTTGGCCAGATAAGATTGCATTTGTTTGTGAAAATCCCAAATGAGATTCATCTGATTTTACTTTATCTGATTGACCATGAAATCAATTTTCTATTCTGTGTAAATAGATTCCATAATCTTCTGTAATCTTGTTTTTTGCATCAAAGTTTTTTTTTTGTGCAAAACCCTTAAAAATTGATTATCCAGCCTTAGATTTTAGACTGACTAAATTTGAAACTGTCTTTAAATACAAACTCGATATATTGCCAGAATCTAATGCATTTTGAAACTCACACCAGACTCCCTATTATGCCATTATCAATTTTTAAAAAATATCCTCAATCTCATTTCAGACTGTCCAATTTATTCCATGGTCTTGGTGAGAGGTCTAACTACAGGTATCATGTATATACCAGCATGATCAAACTGGCCACTGCCTGTGATCTGCTGAGTGCTATACCTACTGATTTGGACCAGGTAAGTGTACACATGTATTCATGATAGAGCGAAGAGGTTGGCAGAACTCAAGGAATCGAGATTACTTTTTAGTTAGCTCATATTAAAATATGAGTGCATTGGTAATATAACCTAAGGTTATTTATATTTAGTGTTTATTTAGCTGCTGTACATGTTCCATGCATTGACTGGTGCTCTGTTAATTAAAAAAAGTTGTGATTATGTAAAAAGAAAGTCACAGTCCTTGCAGTAGTTTTATCATAAACTGTGCCAATTTGCATTATGATGAAAATATTTCGTTTTGCAGTTTACATATATTGCTTTTATTTTTTTACATATTTGTTTGTTAGATCAAAGAATGGGTGGCCCAATGGGACATTCCCACACAGAAAGTCCAGAACATTCTCAGACTCCTCTATGAGGCATTTGTAGCAGCAAAACAGAGGTAATGTAATGTTAACTTGTCAGTTTTATTCAATCGGTTCTTTTAAACTGCATGATAATGAGTGATCTGTCCATGTGTGGTCCATTTTGAATTGAAAAATGGTCCCATATTTTTATGTCACATAAGACTTGTATTTTGTCATGCACATCTACTTCTCAGCGTTGTTGTAAATATACTAAAATGTTAAATGCTATATTGTATGATCTCTTGACAGCCTTATTTTTGCCTTTGTCCTTGTGAGCAAATATCTCAGTGCTTGAGATTACAGTTAGTTTTGTATCCTAACCAAACAGGAAAAAGACTACCTACTTATACTGTTAATAGGATGTTATGATTGTGTATAACAACTTGTAATATAAAATGAATTTATTCTTCCTTTTACTTTTCTAGTGAACAAGCCACAAAGACTATGATAGAACTGCTGGGGACGTATACAAAAGAAAATGCATCTCAGGCCAGGGATGATGCTCAGAAGTAAGCAATTTTTTCAGATTTTAAGAATTCTGTCATAATTTTATGGTAGCAGTTATAACACTTACAAAATTTAATAGTTACAAATCAGGCATTTCAGCAGGGATGTATTTGACTTTCCTAGCTTTTATATATAAAATATTTGGAAAGTTTGTTTTTGGAAAGCTATCAGTAAAATGTACAGAATAAACTACTTTACAATATAAACACTAGGCACTGTTGTATTGATATGAAACTAAAAGAAAAGAAAAGTGTTTAATGAATTTTCATAATTTTAGGTGCATAGTAACCTGTCTAGCAGACCCTGGTACATATTTGTTGGATCATTTTTTGACACTCAAGCCAGTTAAATTCCTGGAAGGGGAACCTATTCACAATGTAGGTTTTAATATTGTGTAGTCCACTTGAAAATGCAAATGTTGGGGTCATTTTTTTAAGTGTCAATTTCAGTGGACTGCTGTTATTTATCCTGGATCAAACTGAACCACCATCTTTGGTCTTGAAGTTAACACCATCTTTGAAATAGAGTTATTTCATCAGACAAAGCCCATAAATAACCTAGGCCAGAAAAAAAAATTCAATGGGGCCTTTGACTTCATCATTTTGGTTGTCTGGGTATGTGATTTGGCAGGCTTATCTCGTGTGAATGTGTTAAAATGGGTCTTTTTGTATGATCTTATATATTGTGAAATAGATATGTCGATATTTGCAAAATGCACAATGCAGTTAGTTGACATCTTTCAAAGAACAAGTGTGCACTTCACAAACATTACAGATAAAAATAATCTTTCATTGGACATGAAATCATGATTTTAATAATTAATTTAAAATAAAAAGAGATAATGTAGTTACTGATCATGGATTGTATTACACTACTATTTTAACTCCATTTTGTATTATTTCAGCTTTTGACCATATTTGTATCAGGCAAACTATCACATTACCTCGACTTCTACCAGAAACACAAGGATTTTGTGAATTCACTTGGTAGGTAAATAGTGCAACAGAACTTTTCTGTCCATTAAACTTTTTTTCATGATTAATTCCCATTTGAGTAAGGAAAAGTCAAAGGACCATGTATAATTTTTTGAGTAAGTTAATGGAATTTTCACAGGCGTTGGTAAAGTAATACATAGCTAAATGTCCCTATGAATAAATAGTGTTAAGAACATGGATATTGTGCATGTATTTCTGCCTTTGAACATTTCCACTTCAATAATTATCTCTCTCTGTTTTTGCGATGAAACTGACCCAGATTTTCAATTCCACAAGGTTTATCACATGAAGAAAATCTACTCAAGATGAGAATTCTGACATTCATGCAGATGGCAGAGGGAAAGAAAGAGATTGATCTTGATACTATCCAGCAAGAGATGCAGATTGGGGAGGAGGAGGTTGAGCCTTTCATTATAGATGGTATGTCTGGTAGAGGAGGTATACGTCTGAAATTATTGTGAAAGAAGTTTTTCTTTGTCTGTAGATAATATTCAGGGATGAGATTTTTCTGACTTTTGGTGAATTTCCAACTTATGAGGAGCCAAAAAAAATCAGTGGCCTTGGCAACCCCCTGGACCCATGCTATATTTTCCGACTTTTTCACTAAATGGCTCATACCTGAATATGAAAGCTTTTCTTGATTTAGAGACTAAATGACAATTTCCTTGGTGTCACACTCAAGCACAAAATCACCATTCCTGTGATCAAGGTCCATTGATGGCAGATGGAAATGTATTTCATGGCTCATTATTTAGCCTCTTAAGTCAAAAAAAATTTTTTTAATGCTCTTTCTGAAAGACACAGTGGTACTGATATGAGCTGAACCTACAATATTGTTTTAATGATACTGCCGTATAGGTCTCCTTTGCTGCATTTAAAATATGGGAAACATCAGAATAAGATGTTCAAGAAGTTCAGTGTTGAGGGGGGAAAACAATTTTGATATGTTGATAATGACATAAATTTGTTCATTCTAAGCAATGCTAGTTAAGCCTAGTGGTTTAAACACCAAAGATTTTTTGATCTCGTTTTACATTATGAAGTGCTTTCAATCTTACTTACAAACTATCCTCAATGACATTCTAGATTTAATGATAATCAGTGTCGTGAAAAATACAGTGTGTATTTAATTTTTGGTAGTAGAAGCACCATTAATACAAAGACACACATTTAAATGAATGTTGCAGATATTTGATAATTAATGAAACTTTTTTGCATTCTTCAGTTGTACGAACCAAGGCTGTCCGCGTCAAGATTGACCAAATCCAAAGAAAAGTTTTGATCAGCACAACAACCCATCGTACATTTGGCAAACAGCAATGGCAACAGCTGAGAGAAGAGCTTGAGTACTGGCAGAGCAGCATCAGCCGTGTTCGAAACAGTTTGCATTCACTGAGCACATTAGCTTCACAGCAGGCCCAGCAGCCATCTCAACAGGCTTAGTAAAACTTTGGGAAATTTCTGACATTTCTTTAGCGTGTTCATAGTACATGAAAGAATATTGGGTAGAGAATATCTATTTATTGATGGAAGGGTTAGAAAAATGAAAGTCGTTTGTCATATCTTGGGAAGAACAGCTTGCCTCTTACGTGCTTCCTTGAGACGGTTGTACTGTGAGAATTGATTGGATTTTTACTATAACTATATGTAATACAGTTGCTACAGACTACATACTTGTGTAGCCAGGCAGGTAAATATTACCATGGATTCAAGATATGAAATTGAAAGAAAGAACATTGTCATATTTATCAAACCATGCAAGGAACTTAAATGATTTTGGTAAATAAATAAGATTACACATATGATTTAAATTAGTTGGTTTTATTTGAAACTGTACCATGAATACAACTTTTTATTGAAAAAATATCATACAGTTATTTTAAAATGGTCTATCTTTTTATTTATGTCCAAATTTGCTGAGGCCAAAGGAATTGGGAAACCAGCCGAAAACACTACATGCTCCATTCTGATCTATATTCAAAATGATAAGGTAGCAGATTGAGCTCTGCATATCACGTGAATGTTTGGTTGCAATTGATTATCACAGGATGTGTTCATAATTAGATAAAAACCATACAGGTACAACATGAAAATTGATACACTTTAATTTTTCATATCACATAAGGTTGCCTTTGAAAAGTTTTAACAACCCTTGAATAGTTTTGTATGTTTGTTAAAAATTATGTAAAGGTTGTTAACTTTTCCTGTATCCCAGTGTGACCCTGACACAAATTTTAAATTTTTTCTTTATCATTAAGTATCAACTTTACTCAAATAATCATCAAAAACACTTCAAAAGTTTTTTTTTTTTTTTTTTTTTTTAGCATCTGAATGTAAGACAACTTAATTCGGCTGCTATAGCAGTGCCAAAAAGGCTGCTGAAAATATATAAATCTCTGCAAGTACATACATATGTTTAGTATATTAAATCAATGTCTGATCAATATCTTACTGTAACGATGGGTAAGATTTTGATACCAATTTGCATAAGTATTGAAGTTTTTGAGCTTGGCAAAGACTGACAAACTTTAACAGTCAACAACATTGAGTTGGACAATTTATCAAATAAGGCTGCTGAAAAGATGTGCTAACAATAATTGTAGTCAATATATCTAAAAAGGCCATTGTCAGTAAAACCAGTGTAAGATAATAAAGGCTTGCTAGTTGCATAACTAAAATTGAAGTAACATGGCTGCAATATTCATTGTGAAGCGCTACTCAGTTGGCTAAGATTCAAAGCAGGTTTTCTGAAGATGGTTTCTATTTTTAATGTTAAAACATTCTGAAACGGGACTCTGCTACTGTCTGTAAATAGGCAGACTGGCTGCTGTGGCTATCCCACACATGTTGCCTACATTTCTGGCTATCAAGATATAACCGTCCATTCCCCAAGTTGTTCCTGGTGATAAGCAAATTGATATTATATAGTACAATACACATTTAGAAACAGTTAACTGTCAAAGGAAATGTTCTTATTCAACAACATTGTGAGACAAACAAGAAAAATAATTAAAAAAATGCAATATTTAATCAATGAAAATTTACATCCACTAGAGATAAATTAACCAAATGCATTTTTAACCTTTTTCAGAACAGAGGTGTCACTTATTTAACACAATTAACTGTGCAAGATATTTACACATAATATATGCCATTGGGACATTTTCGAACAAGGCACCAAATTGATATAAAGTTATTATACAGTCTAATTTTACAAATGTTATTCCGATCCTGAAATATTGAATAAATTAAATGGCTCTCACCCCAGTTGTTCTTACAGATCCAGTAATCCTTCCCAGACATACTCCCATACCCAACCAACAGGAGAGCATGGTCCAATCGTATACGACTGCATGCTGGCTCTACAAACACCCCACTCCTGTAAAGCATGAATGAAGCATGGTTAGCATCAACCATCACCACCACAGGATTTTGAAGAACAGCAAGCAGAAGGTCTGTCTCATTGCCTCGCAAAACTGATCTTGATCCTTTGATCTGAACAGAAAATAAAATCATGTTTGTGAAGATGTTATATTACATATATTGCAATACCGCACGGTTAATTTTCTTTTAAAAAATTTTAATAATTTTGTGTAATGAAATATGACATGATGTACCCATTGCTTTACCTGTTTGTGTGTATCAAGTGTTTACAGATACAAGTTGAATAATTCTCTCTTTTTTGACATTTCAATTCAATAAATTGGTAACAGAAGTTTGGATGTGTTATAATTGATGGGGTCTTATTCATGTGTAACTTATCATTCACAAGAACTCACCACGTGCTTCTTTCAGATAACACTTTTTATTAATGACATCACTCTTTAGGTGGTAATTTGGTCAAGACGCAACCAATTAGATATAACATTATGTTAGAGGAATATGCCTTGTATCACTTGTATGAAAAAAATCTCCATGAATATCAACATTTCCTCATGTTGCTTTAGGTTTCTCACCTGTGCAGCAGGGTGGCAAGAAGAGCTGTGACATACTCCACTAGAAGCATTATAAGGATAGTACGTCTGCCTCTGAGCATAGTCCACCCAGCTTCTTAATGCAAGCAAAGGGATTCCCCATTGGGTGTCCTCTTGTGCAACAGTCAGAAGTCTCTTGGACACTCAGGGCAACCGCATGGCCAGTATTGATTTTGAAGTAACCATATAAGCTGTCTGAAAAAAAATACATGAATGGAATAGCTTTGAAGAACATCACATAATGTAATAAATTACAGCATGTGGATATATTCTTTTTGATGCATTAGTATTCCTTCAGATATCATATTTTCAATAATCTTTTTCATTTTAAAATAAAACTATTATTATTATTATTATTTTAACATGGTTTTATCAAATTTTACAATAAAACTATCACCTATAACTGCATATGCAGTAGCATCCCTGCCTTGATTTGTAACTGGTGGAACTGCTCCCCTTTTTCTCCAGTCAAAGGAAGCAGGAGCACCTTGTAGTTTTTGATACATGTATTTCACTTCTTCTGTCTTTTGTCGTTTAACCACAGCTGTTTCACTCACCATTTCCTACAGAATTTTACAGCATGGTATGTTCTGTAATATCCTTTTATATACACTGTTTATATGCACAAATTAAAGTTCATCTAGACAAAAACTTTCAAATTAATGACACAAAATGAAAATATCACCGAGTAACTCAGCAAGTGCAATGTGGAAACATTCCATTGTAATGTATCTGAAGAGACTGTCAAT